GCCCACGCGACCTCGGACCAAATCTCCTTCGGGAATTTCCACAGCAAGACCGAGGTCTGAAATGCGGACGTGGCCGTGGTCGTCGAGCAAGATGTTCTCCGGCTTGCAATCTCTGTACACGATGCCAAGGTTGTGCAGGCATTCCAGACCACACGCCACCTGGTGGAGCATCGGTAAATTCACTCACCACTCAATCCACATTATAATGCGATAGAAATAAGCCGTCTGAGGAAGTTATCAAACCATGGACGAAGAAAAATGGCTTTGCGTTACCACTTATGGCACACAGCTCAACAATATGGAAGTTACCTTTGCCGACACTACCTAGCCTTTGTTTGCATTATAAAATCTAGCAAAATAAGACAAACCAAAGCAGAAATGAAAGCACAAATTTTATATTTGTCGATTTGATAATTAGCAATTAGAAAATTGCAATAAATTTTACTGAGCCAAGCGATCATAAGACGTCCTGAGCAATGAAATAAACTTTTAAAAAATTCGAATTTTTCTTGAAGGTATGATCAGTTTCAGTTAATGCAAATTGTTTCAAAGAGAGAAATTTTTCGAAATAAAATATTCAAGACGTCTCAATTAATAATTTTTTTTCCTAAAAAGGCCCCACTTTTCACTTAGAGATGCAGCACCAAGATTCAAAATCAAGTATATACATCTAAGATGTCAAAAAATGTAACTCAGTACTCACTGCAGTGAGTGACAGAGAGCGCATTTTTCTCGACGACGAAAACGTGAAGTCACGGACAGACGGACGGACAGATGGACATGGCGAGCACAATAGTGCATTTTGTCCATAAATGAGAAAATGCGCTAAAAAGACTAAATTCATTCATGAAGAGAAAAAGATATAACTCAGTACTCACTGCAGTGAGTGACAGAACGCATTTTCTCGTCGACGAAAACATGAAGTCACGGACGGACAGACGGACATGGCGAGCACAATAGCGCATTTTTTCATAAATGAGAAAATGCGCTAAAAATTATGAAAATTAATAATTTGATAGACCTTAATATACAGCAGTTTACTGAAAAAAAAAAACTACAAAGATTGCACCAATATACCTATCATTCTAGCAAAACACCTAGCCACAAAACATGAGCCCTACTGGTCACATCAAGATGTGGTATATAATTAATTGCTTTCAACACCAATCAGTGAATGTATTTTACCGATCAAGGCAACTTTCAAAGGTCAAGGTAGTCAAGCACAGTTAAACCAAACTTAGCAAGAAACCAAATTATATATTTGCAATAATTAATATATTTTGTCTGCATTTCATTTATTTTGCCGGAATTAATTCTGCTTTTAATTATCTAATTCTGCCTAAATTTAAAAGCAGACCTCTGCGGAATAGAAGACAGCTCTCTCGAGATCGAAGCCTGCCTCCACGCCCATGTTGTAGATGTGGAACTTCAGGTCGCCGCCGTTCATGATGGTCAGCACCAGGCACAGCGAGTCCTTGGTCGCGTACGAGTACGCTAGGCTCACCTGTCATGACAAAAACCAGTAGCCACACTTATCTAACAAAATATCAGGAAAATCTGCAACTCTGCGGTAAATATTGTACAAGTAATTGAATAAAAGAATGCCAAGATGAAAACAAAATTTCTTGATGTTCTTCATGATTGTGTACAATATGAGCGCAAACAGCAGGTGTACTAATCCAGGAGGCTTGATGCAAATATACATGTAGCTGTAGGTATTATGGAACTCTGTTAATCATGAGTGTGCGACTTATTTGAATAATCACAATTATTATATATTGCATTTAACAAAAGTACCCAAGTATCTCCAAATTAAATTACTTAGAGTATTGACTTGCACTTAGCGTCCCACAATCTCCACTTGACTGGCTGTAGTAAATTACAAAATGACAGGAATATTCTGTACGAAAATCAGTCGGATGTCAAGTCTAACCTGCGGCACAACTAATGACGTGGCCGCACAGTGTGTGCACAAATGATTTTTTAACCATCAGTTAATTTTCAATGCACACAAGAAAAGTACTCTAACAAACTTTTCAAAAAACTAATTAACAACATAAATGCATCTTTATGTATACCCTAACCAACTTCATCCAATACGCTGACAGTAAGCATAAAAGTAGATTTATGACTAATATAATTATACAATACCAAAAACTCAAAACTTGAAAAATATTATATCATAGATCTGACCAGATAAATCTATTTCTGATGAACACTGAGCACTCACCACAAATCTAGAATTGACTTTCTGAAGTATTTGTTTCTCAATGAGCACCATGTTCTCGCCTTTCCTCTTCTTTATACGCTTCTTCTCGAGCTTCTTACATGCGTACATTTTGCCCGTGGCTCGAACCTGACACGCACAGACCTCGCCGAAGCCTCCCTTGCCCAGCACACGGTACTGCCGGAACGTCTTGTACGTCACGCGTTGACTGTACAATAGAGAAAGTAAATTACAGCCGGAACGTCTTGTACGTCACGCGTTGACTGCACAATAGAGAAACTCAATTAATCATTATTACTATCATAAATATTAACTATGCATATGAATATACATTTAAATATAAAATCTTTGCGATAACTATTATGAACATGCATTTTATGACGTTTCCTTGAACAACATTTATTTACACGATAGTTAAGAATTTCTTATTTTAGTCCCCCAATAAAAGCAGACTGACAAATACCCGAAAAACTCTGAAGAAGATTTAACAATTACCAGTGGATAATCCAGTAACCAAAATATACAATAAACTACAGATGGAGCTTGGGACATGAATCAATTGCCTAGAAATATATTCTATACTATCGATAACATTCGAACAACTTATTTCATGTATTCATTAATGTCAATTATACTTGAGCAACTAATTTGTAATTATGAAATTACCTCTTGAGAATAAAGTAAATGGAAAGGGATAAAAGGAGTACTCAGTAATTTGACTTTTTAGGCTGGACATTTATTGAGGCACCCTTTAATAATGTTGAATATTCTTTTTGACAGAATAGATTACCTAATCCTTTGGCAACTGATATGATCAGATAACAAGAATATTTTCATTCAATACGTAGTAACTGTAATAAATCACACCCTTTTCAAGTCACTATTTGAACATTTAAATACCCATATAAAAAAATTAACTGAGGTCTCAACCATCGAGCCACGTTCAAGATCTAGAATAAGTAACTGTAGTCTCAACCATCGAGCAACATTCAAGACCTAGGAAGGTAATTGTAGTCTCAACCATCGAGCAACATACAAGACCTAGATTAAGTAACTGTAGTCTCAACCATCGAGCAACATACAAGACCTAGAATAAGTAACTGTAGTCTCAACCATCGAGCAACATACAAGACCTAGATTAAGTAACTGTAGTCTCAACCATCGAGCAACATACAAGACCTAGAATAAGTAACTGTAGTCTCAACCATCAAGCAGCATACAAGACCTAGAATAAGTAACTGTAGTCTCAATCATCGAGCAACATTCAAAACCTAGAATAAGTAACTGAGGTCTCAACCTCCGAGCCACGTTCAAGACCTAGTCCAAGACCATAACTTACCCCAAGTTGAGGTAACGTTCAAGACCATAACTTACCCCAAGTTGGGGTAACGTTCAAGACCATAACTTACCCCAAGTTGGAGTAAGTAAGAAGCTTACCCTTCAAGCCACTTCCATTGTAAATATCTGTGGAAGTACATGGAGTCCTCGAACTGTTCATAAGGCACCCCCGAGAGGAAGCTTTTGACAGTGCGGACACAGATAGAGAAGACCTCTTTGCCCGCGGCTGCATCGCCCTGGAAACACTCCTGCTGACACTTGCTGACTTCTTCAGCTGGTAGCACCTCCAGTACATTGCTGCTTGACTGCACAAACATATAATATCATGAAGAACTGATGCCTTGATATTGTTACTAGTATCCTTGATGCCTTGTATATTATTATCCATGATCCCTTTTGACATCAGAAACACTTACATGGCAAAATAATATTGATCTCATAAATAAAACCAAATGTTTGATTTATATATACAAGTTATCAATAGTGGAACTATTTTTAAATAACCATCTAAATTATGATAAACAAACTTATTTTGAAAATTAATACGGTAGTTGAAGCATGATAAGTACTACCGAGATATATTTTAATATATAATTGGCATGGAATTAAGGTTCGTAAAAAAACATCAGCTTCATTGACAAAAATAACATTGAGAGCATGTAAAAAAAATTTCTATATAAATTTACATAACATTTTATTATGATTATGACATGTTATGATTTATTAAGATTATGACATCTTATGATTAATACATACAAGGAAAGACTGAACAAGAATCAGAATTGTAATAAATGTAAAAGCATTTACCTTTTCACTAAGGTATCTATTGAAGATCTGCTGTGCAACGGCTGACCACTGCTCCGGAAGAGCAACCTGATATTGATCCTGGAGAAGTAAAAAATTTTTAAGGTTTAATGATAAATACCTAAAGTTCAATTAAACTTAAGGAAACATTGTTTCCTCAAACAAATTAAGTACAGTACCTACAGCATATGTATATGTATTAGCAGATATTATACGCACATATAGCTATTTACAACTCAAGAACAATTGGAGCATCAAGTATTAATCTGCTATATTAATACAAATAATATAACAATAGGTACTCATATGATAAAACCAAGTAAATCTGCATGCTAATATCAAATAATACATTTGTTGAAACCCAAGATGTGCAAATCTAGATGTATTTATTCAACAACTGGTTCTCATACATGAAAAGAAATCAATGAAAAATCTGATAAAAAATCAGGACTTCATGACTGAAAATCTAGTAAGCTAGAAGATATGAAGTCCTGTTAATCTAGTTAGAAATCTATTTAGCTAGATTGACAGCTAGATACTAATAGATAGACAGCTACTCATTCACTGAGCTACTTATTACTTTAGAAATGTTCAATAATAATATCAAATGGGATTTTCATCCAGCAAGAATAAATTGAAGAAATTTATTAAGCAAATAAATAATTGAGATAGTTGGTCACATGTTGAGGATTTCAGAGTGATACAAGGAGAATCTGTAAATTATTTTATAAATTAAATAATTTTTGAAAGTTAATAATACCTAATTTTATTTTCTCTGTTACATGAATTATGCAAAATTGTGTGCATAAATTTGGCAAAATTATTTGCGGCATTGAACTAATACCCTTCAAAACCTACACAATACCCACATGTGAGGCTATGAGTCAGCCAAGTGATGTAGAACTCATTCACACCAGAAAATATAATAGCTATCAACTCACAACTTCATCAAGAAAGCAATTGAATTTGTGGTAGTTTGGCTTAAGCTGCTCGCAGAACTGCCGAAAAAGCAAGCAACCAATGGGCTGATGGTCCACTACGTAGCTGTAGCTTGAATCTGAAAGCCCAAGCACAACAATAAATCCTTTCAATGTAATAGTAACAATAATAGCTTCAAGAGGGCCTAATTGCACATTTTCTACTATCAGGATCATGGTCATGGTAATTACAAAAATACCGTTATCAAATTTGCATAAAAAATTACTGAAAATATGAGGAAAATACATCATCATAAGCTATGCTTAGAAAGAAATTTTTTCTTATTCCTGCATTAGAAAATGGAATGAAAATATTTATCAACAAAAATAGAAATTAATTCTTCAATGTAGATTAGAAAGAGATGCCATTTAGAGAAGCCACAGGCAAATAATATTCTGTAATTGCATACATAGATGCATGTAAATATCATTTGCTTTATGAATCACTTTTGTGATAGGTAGCATGTGAGCCACTACACCTAATGGTTAGATTCAAATAGCATCTGCTCAAAATCAGCATGAGAATGCACAAATTTTTGAGCTGAAGATTATTGATCTACGTAATTGAGGAAAATTTCCAAATAAATGCTATTTAGGAGCAATCCTAAATAAAACTCATGAATAGTAACTTACTAATTTTATCTTTGAGGTCGAGGCATTGTGAGATGTGAGGGAACTGCAGCAACTTCTTCCATTTCTTACTCTTGCCTTTATTGCTGTCTGAGCCACCTGCAACACAACACATATAAATCACTGGTGACATTAAAAATAAACTCATAAACAAAACAAACACCTACTGCAATCTTTGGCATTGCCCAAAAATATTTAAAACACTAGTGATGATTACCAAACATCTTTTGCCAAATATTTTCCTTAATTATTGATAGAGGCAACAACTATTTCATCTCTCTTTTTTTTGGCCATTACTTTATATTTTGGGTGCTCTTGGCAATGAACCTGAGAGCCAGGATGGAATTCAGCATTTCAGTGAAGGTAAAAATATGTATCATATGTGAATAGGTACTCTTTAAGATTAAAAAATGATAAAACTAGACTTGTTAGTTATAACTTGGCGTATGTCTTAGAACTGGGCAAGTTACTACAAGGCCATGGTCAGGAAGATGTGCCAGGTGCGCGGGAATTTATTTTTTTCATTTTAACGACCTGCGCGGTGCGCCGTACTACGTTGGTAAAAAAAATGCGCCGTGCGCCGTACTTTAGAAAGCTAAAATAGTTCTATTATTTTCGTCGACAATATACGCGAGTATATTGACTATGCGAGTCGAACTGACAATAATAAAATGTAGGACATGTCCGGGTTACTTCTGACTCTTCCGGTTGTCCGCCTTGTCGGATACGGAACGTACGGTAATCGTAAACTGCGGCTGTTATACATACGAAATGTAAACAGACGGTGTTCAGTGTTGCCATATGACTTTGGAGAAAATTTCTTCTAAAATAAAGATGGCCGGGAGCCCGGGATTGCGCGAACACGTGCGCGAAGATAATCAATTTTCATTACATTGCGCCAACTGTGCACAGCAATAGCTTAAAAAAGTGAAAATGCGCAGGAAAATTCCCCAAAAACATACATCATCCTGAGTATGGCTACTAGGTTAGCTAGATCTTGAATATATGAACTACTATTTCTAGGGCTTGGAAAATTTGACGATCCTTTTTGAAGAATTATCTTACTTTTGATATTAAATTTGATGGCACACTAGAACTACAAACTTTTTAATTTATCTTAAAATTTATGAATTTGTAATTAAGAGTTATAAATATCTGTCAATATAGTCCTAACACTGCTGCAGCCTTGCAGGAGTTATGAATCCAGAACTATTTGCTCCATTTAGCTTGCAAATATAGCTTGTAAATGAAACTGCAAAGAAGTTGTAAATAGAAGTAAACTACATGATTGAGTCATTTAATTGCTGATTTAGGTATGCAAATGTATATCATGTTACTTTGGTGCTGCAAAATTTTGCAATAAGTAGGAATTATTTAATGACCCAATTTTGACCCATACTGGAAAATCAGGCAGAAGCGACTTGTGAATGAGACTAAACTAACCCAGTTTGCAGTTAATTTAAGCCATTCTGCCTATTTTCTGCCTAACACTGTTGCCTATTTTCTAGATAAAAGGAGAAAAAAGATTTCTTTACCCCTTAAATTCCCTAAAATTAGTTTTTACCTACAATTTCCAAAAAATTCTGTCTGATAATCCACCGAATCCAGTATGATAAGCACCTAATTATTCTGTTCAACAGTTCAAGTATTTTATCTCCAAAATTCTGTGCTGCAGACACCACAGACCACACAGGTGGTGAAAACACCACACAGGTGGTGACCTGCAGTGTTAAGCAAATATTCTCAACATTCTTTTATATCTTAAACATACAAATGACAAATCCAATGCATGCAATCTGAAATTATTCTATTGAATGAAATTCTCTACAAATTTTAGTAAAAACTGTTTTTTCTAAACAAATTTCTTAAAATCCAGACAAAAATGTACAGCAATTTTATATAGCCTAAAAGAAAATGTCAGGCAAGCTGCTAGGTAGGGGCGTAGGGCCATAAAACAGGCCAAATTTACTGCAGTCTGCAAGCATGCAACAAGCATGGGTGCTATTGCACTCATGGATGGCTTTTGCTAGTTCTGCAGTAATCTGCGCAATTTCCAGAATAGTTAAACATAAGTTCATAACCATAACTATGAAATAAATTCTAACAAAAATTACAGCAGTAATTTGAAACTTGCTAGTTGCTACTCATAAGTTCATAACTCACGATACAGGATACACTCGGTGCAATTTACTACTTACAAAAGCAATTTAGACATAAGCAGTTGACAAAAGAAGCCATTTAGGCACATAAAGCATAGTGGCAAACCAGAGCTTTTTTAGAATCAGTTCATTCTTAATTTCCTCATTTACTCAAGATTCAAACCAATTTCTTAAGTATGATAATGCTGGTATCCAGGATATTTACTGGTCTACTTATAGGACTCGAAAATGAAATTGAGGGAGAGTCTAAAAAATTCTCTGCTTTGCCACTATGACATAAAGAAAAGGATTCACACAATTAGAATCCTAAATTTACAATTAAATAAGCATATATTACGACTTATGACTGTTACGAGTGAATTTCTGTAGATTTAGCGTAAAGAAAATTGGACTTAAATGATTACCTTCTCGAGCTTTCAAGTAGACAGTATTGGCTACTATATTTTCTAATTCCATGAGTTCCAGGTTGGCAGTGAGCGACCTTGATGGGGTCCCTACTACGGCGCCCCTCTGCCATGCACGCCCCTGCCTCCTGGTGAAATCCTTCCTTTTCTTTCAAACTATCCAAATTTACTCGAAATGGCGATGGCAGCTAAACTCCGCGGAAATGTACCGAGACTACCCTAAAAAACAATTAACCGCCCTAACTTAGGGATTTTCTTCGCAGTCTGATAGATAGTTGTGAGATTTCAGGTAAAAAATCCAGAATCTAGATATCAATTGTACGAATTTGGTTACAAATATTGATTTTTATGTTCATTTGTGATTATTTACGAGGAAAATACGTAAAATTTTACGCTTTAGCGATGATTGAGAGCAAAATTTAAGGCTGTCACGGCGATAGAATATTACGATTTTACCCTAATCAGTTTTTTTACCCCATTTTCTGACATTGTATCGAGCCGCACATCGCACCAATTGCGGAAGGAAGTTTCCGGTCCTGCGCTAAGATAATTGTTGCATCCGTGTACGAAAATACTCTTGTAAACATTCCGAGGTGGAGTCCTAAACGAGTGCAAGCCTTGAGTGGAAGAGGTAATGGCTACTGGTAATAAATCAAGGCTGCAAGTGCTCATACAAGGCAAGTGATTGAAGTAGCAATTCTAAAGTCTAGGTACTCAAAATGATTGTTAACAAAAAAAAAAGATAGCTTTGATGGACGAAATTTAAGGAAACAGCTTTCATGTTGAATTACGGATTGAAATTCCATGAGATCCTGATATAATTAATAAACTACAGAAACGTTTCACAATGCGAACTTTGAAATTCTGAAATTGAGGCAATTCATCAATGCCCACGAGTGTTTATTTGTAGAACTACTGAACAAACGTCGCCTTACTTAATCGTGAACAGGCCGTTAGTTCCCGCTCTTTATCAAGTGGCGGCTTGTAATATTTTCTCAATTTAGATTCGTGGGTTGATAAAATTGAGCATTCCTCTAGCGCGTATGTTAAGAAAATATAAGAAAACTAGCTGAAATGGGTTCGAAGTTATGCATTTGAAATTGGGCTTTTTGTGTGTAGTCGCTTATGCTTGTTGATAGCCGAGCAGTATCTTCATGTTGCCAGACAGTCGTTACACTGAACGAAGTTATTGAAGAATCAGCGTAGCGCGTAGTGCGTACCTCTAAATCTCTTTTAGACTATAGATACTTTTACCGTCAAATAAACAAGCAGGAAACTCCGATATCCATTAAAAAGTGCATAATGACTAATATGCATTGGTTAATTAAGTTTAGTGGCTACGTGTTCACTAGCGCATCAGCTATTTAGCTAACTTCAACTGAAAGTCAAGATGAACATGGTCAATTTGGCGGAAGGTTTCAATTATCGTAAACTTCGCAAATCATCACCCACAATCATTCATCACCCACACGGGGTAGAAGGTCTCACGGGGCAAGCCTGCTGATAATAGCTCGAAAAAACAGCATTTGCATCTCACCGAGACGAAGTGACAAGGAGAGGCAGGTGAAAAGCCGCAGAAACGAAGACACCGCTATTAAGAAAAAAAAAGACACTCGCTTAGACTTGGCTTTAACCGCCTCTACCTCATTGTAGGGATCCAATACGTGAACACGTATTATGGAAGTTACTTGCCTCAGTCACTAAACAACATACAATTATTCAATGCGAATGAAACACGTTTCGATGACGATTTATAAGGAGATATCAGTGGATAGTTGTATGAACTATCAACGGATATTACATTGTTCTTTAAAAAAAATATTGAATTACATCAAAATTTCATCGTCCATTTGCAAAAAAAATTATTGGATACGACCACTATAACACAGCCATGGCAAAGTAATAGGTAGTTGCTTACAGATAACTAGGACAAAAAGAATATCGGCTAACTACTGATAGATTAGTTACTGTTACACAGGTCCGCAAAGCTAAACTTCGAAATTACATTCTCAACGGCGACGGCTAAGTAATTATGATCAAGTAAAAAGAGCACTTTAATCACGATAAGAGACCTGTAGGCGAACGCTTTTGGCGTCATCCTGGTTGAAAGAAATTAAATCAAAACTTAGGTCCTGTTGAACAGTAAATCATAGAATACCTCGTAGGTTGAACAATTGAATTGTTTCGGTGACATACCGATAAACAAAAGCGTTAAGTGTTAATGAAAATTGTAGAATAACCAATTTCACCCGAACTTGACATCATGAAAACAGTGCAAACTTATAAAAAAGACGAAGAAGAAGGGTGGCAAAGTGGATAAAGTTCGGAGCACCAAAATTGGAGCAGTGCGCTGTAGGGTCGAAACCAGCAGGCAATTGTGAAAAATTATGTTCGAAGTAGGCGAGGTAGTCGGGCGGTTAAGCACAGTAGCTATGAATTACGAGTTCGAGATCCACATAAACCCTGAAAATTCTGCAGTGTTCAGAATTGGGATGAGTCACAACAGCCTAATTTTCAACGCAAACACTGCTGTTTATTTAATTTAGTAAGCCCGGTGACATTAGTAACGACGACACATGTACTTGTCCCGATGAGGGATAGAATTGAAGTTGTGAATACGAGAACACTTCAGAGTTATTTGCAGGTGTTGGGCGGGATGCCGTCGGTTGTGCGCTGTTTCTTGCGAGCCTCAAGAGTGGAGAAAAATTCTCGGATGTCTTCATCACGAACCACTTTTCCGGTGTTAGCAAATTTGCGCAGGTACTCACGTAGCTCGGTGCTCAGCGTGTTGTATTCTGCGGAGAAAAGAAGTGTAACGAAATAGCTGGAGCACTGAGAAAATAATACTGACATGTATGTTATTTGCAGACAAGAATGTGTCGTATTGCGAAGGAACGCTTGTTTTTTTTCTCCAGCATTGCTACACGTACAGGATAACAGAATAATACTACAGAAGGCGAAGTAAAAGTTGCGAGTCCAATTAGCATATAAAAGGTATGAAAAAGGTGTCCATAAACGCTATTAGGAGAATACAGGCAATACGGGGGAAAAGATGCTGCTAAAATAATTAAATTTGTGTAACTGACAATTCTGGGGCAAAAAGCAGCCATGGGAACACAGAGATGGCCGTCAGAACTCGAGGTCATTTATGAAATAGAATTGAACATCAAGCAATCAAAGTTTACAAGTTAGGGATCGCAACTAAGCGTGCAAATAATTACTCAAAAAGTCAACATTCCATCTAAAAATTGACTTTAAATGTCGTTCGGAATTGTTAGTCGGTCACATCTGGATCACTATTCAGAAGATTTAATGGTGCCTGCAGCAACTTCCTCATCATTGTTTGGCTGGGTACGTTTATACTGGACATTTTGCGGAGTAATTGCACGAGCTTGTTGCTTTTTTTGTGAGACGCGACGTACACAGTATGGTATGCAAATTAGTAAAATCAGTGAAAACCGGTTATGTGATCGTGGCCAAGAACTGACAAGGCAAGTTCACGGTTCCCTACTATTGGGCTTTAACTATTTCATTTGGGCTGATTTGGAAGAAAATATTCTTCCAAATCGGAACATATGAATAGATGGAATGGGGGTACAGTGTACACAGCATAAATAAGCTCAAACCTAACGCTAGAAAGCCGCCATTTCATTGCAGATAAAAGCCCCAAAGTCAGTGAATTGGAGCTGCCGGAGACATCATCTTGCAATCCAATGGATTGCAAGAAACTGAAAAATAAGTTGATTCATCATGCACAGATCGCTCATCAGCCCCCCGACCTGACTATCATATAAAATCTCCCATTATCCTCCCACCAGCAGCCTCCCCCTTAATAGTCAACACCCCCCTCGGCCACTACCCCCAGAAGCAACCGCCTCCCAAACCACCCTCAACCAGGCAAGGCCCCCTCACACTCCACCCGCACCTGCGACCATCTCGGTACGGGTGACTCGGTCGACGGCGTTCAGGGCTTCGAGCTCGCGTTCGACGCTGCGCTGGCGTGCGGTGCCGCGCAGGCGGTCGCGCGACTGCTGCTCGTAGCGCGCCGTCGTGTCGTCTGGGCACGTCAGGAAAAGCAGCTGCAGGCGCTGGTACTGCTCCTGTGTGTGCAGGTGTCATTTAAAAAAAAAACACTCGTTTTTTAACACCAGACGTTTCACGTTTTAAACACAAATTAAATATTTGATTATTTAGAACACCTACTAGAGTCATTTGTAGTGCATTTTCTCGTTTATGAAAAAGGCGCTATTGTGCTCGCCATGTCCGTCCGTCTGGCTATCTGTCCGTGACTTCACGTTTTCGTTGACGAGAAAATGTGCTCTGTCACTCACTGAAGTGAGTACTTGAGTTATATTTTTTATTTTTAGTACTTTGACTACTTTCTGGGTTATTTAAATACTGGCTTCATGCAGTGAAGCATAAAAAAAAGTACAATGAATCACAGAGAGAAAGAAATTGGCAACAAGACGTTCTGCATGGCTTCATGAAGTTGCAATGGATGACGACTTCTGACACTGATAAATTGTTAATTTATTTGGAATATTATGACATGAAATATTAAACGGTTAAAAGTGAATTCATAATGATCCATTCAAAGATTCAACATAAAATTCTTCCCAAAAAGGCCATTTCAATTTATTCGGATGTTTTTATTAAACTTGAGGTTGTCAACTTCTGATTACTTTGGGCGTAACATGCATAATAAATTTTGAAAAAGACTATTACAACAGCTGTAGCAATTCTATTAGGAGGAAGAAGGTCTTTAAATATCATTATCTGAATCAATGTATAAATTAGCATACCTAAAATTTGAAATAATTTGTGAGAACAGTGATTTTTGTGATTTTATACACCGACTTTTTTTAAAATAAAAATCAATCAGACATGCCAATAATTCCATTCAAAACACTTATAACGAAAGACAGCCAACTTTATGAAGTAAACTTGTGTGGCAGATGGGTAAAATTATAATTTTTTTAAAGTTTTCCATTTATTGCGATCACTCTGAATTTGGATGCCCTTTCATAGAAAAATTTGCACGTCAAATAAAGACAGAGAAACAGCAAACACATTGTGAGGCCAAGTTTGAAAAATAAATAAATCAGCGATTCTCACCGTACATTGTGAGCAGCAGCATAGCTTGCTTCTCCAATTTTCTGGTAGGAAGAGTGTCTTTGTAGCGTTTGTGGGCGCTGCATATACTGTCGCCGTGCAAGGTCCTGCAATATAATTTGCATTACAGCAGAAAAACTTGAATCAATTCATTACTAAGAACATGAAAACGGTACGGAATAAAAACAAATTAGGATGATAACCATTTGAAGACTTGTTTCCCACGTCGAAATAACTGATACATACATCAGTTGAATCCATATCAATTTGAGGGAACTAAAATAAAACTTTGACTATTCATCAAATGTACATAGGTTATCTTAAAACTAAAACTGGTATGGGAAGAATTCTTGCTCGGTTGCTCTTGCTAAGCAGTTACCTTTTAGCTTTTCCTCTGACTTCCCAGCTGACTTAGATATAGTCTCATGAACTCCAGCTGATTCAGAGTTTGTTTCAATGATTCCAGCTGTCTCTGAATCTGTTGTGGTGACCGCCGCTGACTTCCCAGCCAACTCTGGTTCTGTTGCAGAGACTGCAGGCAACTCCTCGGCTTTTTCTTGGTCCACTGCATTTGCCTCCTTTGACTCGTTGTGGCTCACTGCAGCATTTACAAAAGGCAAAGCGATAAACTGGAGCTGTTTTACCATAATATGTCATAAGTACAAAAGCATCCTGAGCAAATGAAGTGGCCGATTTCTTGTCTGCAATTTGTGGGTTTAGCCAGAAAAGCTATCAGTGATTGGTTAATGGAGTTACCAACTCCTAAAAATTTTTTGTAGTACAGCCCCAGGAATTCAGTCAACTTCTCTTCAATAAGATGGAACTCAACTTTTATAGGACAGTTAGAAATTTCCTATAATTATGCCTGTGGGAGGCCTATTTACCACTTCGTTATAGTTGAAAAATTTTAAAGTCTATAGGTACCTGTTATACCTACATGAACCTATTAATGCCAAATGAATAAAAAATTTTAATTTTTGGAAGTCCAACATTCACCATTTCCTGTTTTAAGACTTAATTGCTAATTCCGAAGTGCACACTGTTAAAATTTAGGACATGATTTGTAATAAATTTAATTCCTATATTACCAAGCCAAATCGTTATGTTAACTAGAATGTTAATAAAGACCTAATTTACCTACAACTTAAAATAATCAAAATAAGAGCTTTTGGCTATAGATCAAGCATAGGTGAGCAGAACTGACCATCAAGCGCTGCATAGTTGCTGAGGATGGGAAATGCTGCTATGCACAAGTGACAGATCATCTCGGCATAGTCCTGACCGGCCGGCACATTCTCCCTCTCTAGGTGCTGAAGAAAAAAATCAACTTCAATATTAAACTTAATGCACAAACAATAAATTCACCTATAACTTCCAGCAACCAGAATGAATGAAAAAAGTTATTGCTGTCTTACATAAGATTTTTCAAGACATATCACAGGCCTGACAATTCTCACAGCCTGTATATCCAATATCATTACACAATCCTTCCAGTAGCATGAAATGCTTAAGGAAAGGTAAGCAGGTAAACTATAGAAATACTTGCTTAAAAACTAGATTTCCATATCAAAACAGACAATCTAAAACAAACTCCATGCTAGTAAAAATACTACATACCTGCGAATTATTTAATAATCTTCCCAAAACAGGCACTGCATCTGAGTGTGGTACCTGTCCTCACACACGCAGCACTGAATGATCACACACTCACCCATGTGTGGTACCAGTCCTCATACACGCAGCACTGAATGATNCTGAATGATCACACACTCACCCATATGTGATACCACTCCACACATACACACGGCACTGAATGATCACACAATCACCTGAGTGTGGTACCAGTCCTTACACACATAGCACTGAATGATTGCACACTCACCCGAGTGTGGTACCAGTCTTCACACACACAGCACTGAATCATCTCATCTTCATCAGGCTGCTCAGGGTCTGGATATGGCCTATGACAAGTGCAGTAAACACCATCAAAATTTTGGTTATAGGAGTTCTTCACATTTGTGGTCATCTTGTCCTGCAACAAAGAGACAAGAAATTACTATGAGTAAGATTTTGAGAATTCAATTCTCCATTAAACTAAAGGTCAGAAAATAATCATGTTAATAATTAGACATTCTCTCTTTCTTGACTTTAGACCTCTTGGTTGAATACTGTACTTCATGTTAGTAGAATAGTAATGAAAAGTATGAACATTGAACAGCATCATGTCATTGACATTTCAAAATTCATACCAAATATCACAAAGCGCTATTTACTATCAATCAAGTACCTACATATATATTTATCAATTGATAATTTGCCAGTGAGTACCTTATCAACAATTAATAAATGATTGGACACCCAAAATGAGCAAACTAAAATTCAGTAAGCTCAAAATATTAGTAGGTTTAATTTATAAAGCTATACATTGTAGAGGTACAATTCATACATACATTGTAAAGGTATACATAATTCATATATCCATTAGAGACAAAGACAAGGACTTATCATATCTTAAAACTGGTATAGAGACCATCTCCAGACTCCATCAGCAGCTTTTGTTCAAAAATGTTCAATGAAGATATAGTAAATTTATGTGCAGTTTTCTTTGCTTTTAAATTATTGTTGAATATGCCATTGAAGACTAATAGTACTTTTACCAATAACAAAGGAACTTATTAACATACAGGGATGAGTTTGCAAGGGGTCATGATGAATTTTGAGTTGCCACAGTCACAGCGGAAGTCCCTCTTGGTGTAGAGCTCAACAATATTGTGAGTGTCATGGCAGTGTAGGGAGCAGGCGAGGCACATGCCAGCACGTCCTCCAGCTCCACCCACAGGGCTACATGTCAAACATGCATACACAGCCTGGCGCTTCATGTAACCCTGCAATCATGAGTCAAAATTTAAGGTAAAATAAATTAAGCATATATGTATCTGCAATCTGAGTAATCATTGGTAGTGAGGTTTATAATACCCAGAAAATCAAAGCATATATACATACAATGATACATATTCATAGAGGTAATAGTTAGAATATTTCTTTCTTGCCTTGTTTAAAAAAGATAAAAAAAAAAAGTTAATATTCATTCCACTAGGTATATTCATATTGGTAATTGGCATAAATGAAGATATTTTAATCTTAATTAGGCTAAATTTACTATTATACTAGGCTACTATACCAAACTTACTTTCATATTCATACACATAATTTTATAGGCCTACTTGAAGTAAAACATGTAACTTGTAACAAGATGACAAGATCATATGTAGCCTATAATGTAGGTATATAGATCTTTACCAGTCTAAACTCTAAACTACTTTAGAGCCAAAGAGGCTGAAAGAGCACATCCCAGTTTGGTTATTGGTAGGCTAGTTCTATGATCCTATCAGGCAATCACAATTTTCCTCTGAACAAAGATAGTTGTTGACTTGTTTTTGTTGTCAAACCACTTATGACAATGCAATAGGCCTAAGCTCCATGATAAATGAATAGAAATTATTACTAAAATACTAAAAACAAATTCAATTGTTACAAAAGTTTTATTTGAACTTGGTGAATTAGGTATGTACAAGTCATACGGTCATACCTAATGGTAAATTAGGTATGTACATTTTTAAAATTTCACGTTCAGCTGTTTCTAAAATAGACTTGGTATAGCTGTCTACAAACAGCGCCTGATGAAGATCTGAATATAGAGGAGCGAAGAGATCCTGAATCCTATAATGGCACATATGATACACGCAATAAACATAGTGGCAAACCAGAGCTTTTTTAGAATCAGTTAATTTTTAATTTCCTCATTTACTCAAGATTCAAACCAATTTCTCAAGTATGATAATGCTGGTATGTGGTATCCAGGATACTCTACTGGTCTACTTATAGGACTCAAAAATGAACTTGAGGAAGAGTCTAAAAAACTCTCTGCTTTGCCAATTGCCACTAGGCCTATGATGTACAAGTCATTGAAGCCTGAAGGTGAAGCCTGAAGGGGAATAGGATTTGGCCTATGGGAGTTAGATATATACACCATTAACACCAAGTTATAACTCACTTGAGCATAGGTACAATGTTCATCATCAGCTGCCCCAAGCACAGCTTCTGCATCTTCTAGTAGTGCTTCTTGCTCCTCAAGTATGTCAACCATTGTTAAACTGCCATCTTCAGCATTATCCACACAGCAAGCATTGTCTTCAGAAGCTACATCATCGCCTGCCATTATTGTTAGCCAATTTATGTACTTGTACAGTAAATATAATGTAATAGGTCACAATCACCCTGCAAAATCAGACTGGAGCGGGAGCCATCAGTCACAATACATGAATTTTAAAATAATTTTTTTTTTTGGTGAGGCAAATAGGAGTTTTTCGCTATTTATCAGGAAGAAAAACATTCAATTGTATTTGTATAGCCCTAGCTAGCCCTCATCTGCTTGGCCTTGTCGCCTTGTTCATTGGACAGTTGGACTCATGGTGTAAATTTTGCCTTGCAAAGTTGCAAATGCAAACCCTCCAAGGCTCCACCCTCCACAAATGCAAACCCTCCGCCTGATACCTATTTTTATTCAAAATTCACTTTAAAAAGCAAAACTGAATAAAAATAATATTTATTATACTTTTGAACCATTTTCATTTCAAAGTTTTCTGCGATCTCAGAAATTTCGAGTTTTTCACCCAGTCCCCAAATTAGCGCGGGAAAATTCCCTGTAGAGACGGAAATCTTTCCCGGGTTTACGAATGAAGGCGACGCCTTGCCCAGTACGTATGTTCCACTGAAAATTCTCACGAGACGTGACTCCTACGCAGGCAGGCTGGAATTCTAAGAATGGAAGTTCACTTATAAAAAAGCTTTCCACCCAAGGTGAAAAGCTTTCCTTGGATACAGACTATTGAGACTAAGCCATACAGCGCTCTGCCAGCCTGCCAGGAGACTGACTATAAATGAAAAGGAGGATCAAAATGGGAGAAAATGTTTTAATTGTATAGTACATTAGATTTGTAATAGAATTATTTGGATGTCTCTTGTTTGATATATATTTTTTTGTCCCTTATTTAATGGATTTTTTTTAACATTTCCAGGCCTTTTGTTTGTAATGATCAAGTTTCAGTTAAGTATTTAGTTAACCAGTACTGTAGTACATATACCATAACGCAGGTTGTGTTAAAACAAAGTATCTGACACTGTGTTCTCAAAATTCTACATTACAAATTGGGAAACTTTACTTCGACAAAGCCGGCACACGCAGACCCTTCGGTGTGCGGACTGCGGACCCTGTCTGTAGGCCGAGTGGCCGTCTCCGTCTGTGGACTCGGGCAGTGTTGCCAGCTTTTTTCTTGGTGAGAATACCAGATTGCCTAGTTCAAAATGCTATAAATATACCAGAATTTCTATTGTTCAAAAACAGACTATTACCTCCAAATTTATTTAAACTATTCGTCAGAAACGTTGGTTAGTAAAAAAAAATTATCTCGTGTACTGGGCATTTATCTGACTGGACGATAATTAGCCAAATTGAACACGTTATATTTTTTCCCTCTTTATAGAACATTTTTACGCTTTTCTTTTCCTGTGTTTGATTACATCGACACTTTTTCTTATCACAGTGTGGCACTTCTTCCCCTTCGCTCAACATGAGCAAGCCACAGAAACAGGTCCTTTTGCTTATTTTCGTACATGCATACTGCATTTATCTAACATTTCGGGTGTGATCACTTGTTGCGGTTGAGCAGATAGATCTTGGTCCGAATAACGGACTCCAGTACTTAAGTTGAAATTTTATTTCGGTGCTTGTTTTCCACATAGGTCACTTGTGAAAACACACGCTCCACAAATGCATTGGAGACAGGTCAGAGTAGACAAGTGATGCAGTAGGCAGCCAGTTCTATGAATGGATGATGATATTCAAGATCAGTGAAATATTGAATGGCACCCCATAATTTAAGTGGCACTCTAGAATTCAAAACCACCAAACAAAAATGTTGGAGCTTGCGTCGCAGAGATCGGTTCGACCATAGTTTAACTATATAAGGTTGACCCACGAGAATTTCCGTCTTTCAGTTCAGCTTTCTAGTTATGTCACTCCAATCGAGAAACGTCAACAATCTGGTCATTTCCATGACGGATTGGCTAACAGGTTTGATCGCATTTCGCTGATTGATTAACGCCAGTGACGTCACTGAGATCAATGACATCACAGGCGAACAACGAACTACATCCGCAAAAATGGGCTTCTCATGGGTCAATATTATACAAATAATAATAATAGCGGTTTCAGCATTTATTAGACCTTAGGCCTGTTGCCGATTCTTAACATCGCAGAACATTCACAGCTTGTTGAGGTGTCGAACTCGCAACTCACGGCTACAATTCTGCTGTGCTTAACCACAAAAAACAAATGATTAAAAGAAATATTCATAAGAGCGTATCCACAATTTGTTATCGGCTCCGGTGATTAGATTAATTAGCTGCAGTTGCTCATGATTATCTTCACTATCGTGAAGAAATGACTTCCTTTACAATCAATCTTCATCTCAAGATGATATTATAATCATAGCCTAGTACATTATTATAGAGCAGCTTATACGCGATCGTACTTTCTTCACGGTAACGGTTGTACGTCGGAATATTAGTTTAGCATCGCATATTTAAAATGGCTGGATATAATGTGGATTTACTTCTTAGTATTTGACCTTTATATGACGTTATAAGTAAAATTAATGCATATTGCAATACGTCTAGGTTCTCTGATGAGTCGCGCTGGTATACCCAGGCCTCACGAGGTCAATGCGTCCACTCAGATGCTCAAAGCTCTCTGTACTCGAGTTCTCAGCCTTCAATCACGTGTCATTGCACGGACTTCGCTATGTACTTGAAACTTATCCTCATGATGCTCACTGATACGAGGCAAATGCCTGTGGTAATCATGGACGTGATTACGTCACTCAAAATAATACCTTTTTCGAGTACACTCGGTGCTTTAGATTGGCCAGTACACTTTAGTTAAAGTTTGTGGATGCCTTAGGGGGGCTTGATTTTAGTGAGTCGGAGGTCTGCCGACCTAATGGTTTCGACTTTCGACCACTCCTGCTAAGGATTAAGTAATCATCTTAATATTAGTGGACTCACCACTCCATTAGTTACAGTGATCAAGTTTATCACTGGTATTAGAAAAACTTATGGCTTTTGTATTAAGTTTTAACGAACAATACGATCCACTTACAATTTGCAATGGTTAAAGATGCTCGACGACCAGACCATTGTGAGGGAATGGATCAAGTGGTCATCGCACAGCCAGAACCGTGGGGGTTGATGAGGTCAAAGGTCGTAGTGGCAGTTGTTTCTGAAAAACACCACATGAATAAATAAAACTGCAATAAATATAATATATTGCAAGACCATATTCTGTCGAGGCACTAATACCTTTGAAATTAACATAGTATTACGTAGATCACGTTACAATTTCGGCGGTATAGACTTGAGTTATATTTACCATTAAGTTCTCATCAAATTAAAACGACGAAAGATTAAAATCTTATCGATTGTTTCTCAAGCATAGTCTCGAATTGGAAGGCGACATATCGTCGGAAAAATAAAATTCAATCAATATAGTTGGAGAAATACTCCTGCATGCTAGTCGGACATGCTGCATCGGTGAAGCAACAAAAATATATCAATAAACATGATGTTCATTATTAACGGTAACTCCGTAATGGAACAATGGAGCACAGTTTCGCGCATACATTATTATACCGCATACATTATTAATTGATGAACAAAATTAGAGAAAGGTAGCTCATATTGGTATCCGATCTGCAATCAGCATTTAAATGCATTCTATTTGCTTGGTAGTCTGTTGCATTCAAAGATAAAATGAGACATCGTCCGTTGCTAATTGTGGCGAAAGTTGAGGCAACAAAGACGCTATTAATGTAATTCTTTGCTAAATGGTAAATACCATTAGAAATTGAGCTGCATCTAATGGATAATACGACGTGGCAGGCAGCTGGAACAACGACCTTGGAATCAGCATGTGAACGTCTCAGGCGCTGCTGCGCTGCATCGCATGGCCTCGTGTTTTTTTCTTTTTCTTTGCTCTTGTTCTGAAGGCTGCTTGCCTGCAGAGTGCTTGGCATTGCCGCTTATGTATTACGCGTCGTTTGCTTGTTCGCCGCGCGCTGGTGCAACGCACGTTATTGTAACTTTTTCAACTATGGAATTTTATTATCAACTTTTTTTTATCAACTATGGAATTAAACCTTGTTAACAGTTCGATTTCTATAAGAATCTTGCAGGAAAAACTTTAACGTTTCCTATTAAAAGCGTTTGTATTCAGAACATTTTTAATTATGCTATTCGTCACATTTTTAAACACGAACTTATAACTCCGGCATTCATATATCGACTCGATAAAGGTTTCTCGGATTATTACGTGCTATTTCGTCTTTCGTAATTGTGGCATACGAAATATAATTCGATTGTTTATAGTCTTATGACTGTTGCGGCTTTATCATTAAAAAATAGATATATCTTCGGAATGAGGCAATGCAATCAGGCCGCTGCAGAAAATGAAAAGTACTGCAAGAAAAAAAAATCAAGCTGCATGGTAGCATTGATTGAGAGTAAGCGTCAGCAGTTTTTGCGGAGCTTGATTGCGGTCTTTGCACACAATCTACTCGTGGCATTGAAATCCGGCGATACTGGTAACTTCAATCTACCGGTAATGATAAAAAATTTACCGTCAGGATACGTAGACAGTTTTCGCATTTAGTGCTTTTACAGTTAATAGAAATGCGTAGATGAATTACAGAGTAAAATAATTGTTTATAAAGAAGTCTCTACTATCGTAGCTTTCACGCTTTAATCGGCATCGCATTTTATAATATAATTGAGGCGATTGTTCATATGCTTGATACTTTTACGGCTTTTTATTATAAAAAACCGTTGAAGACGGAAAGTTAAGGTTCACCGAAGCCATACTTCGTCTGCCGTATTGATGCATGAAAAATCATTGCTATGTAGGGCATGTATTTATGGTATGATATTCATGAGTTTCACAAATCATACAAATGCTGTTGTAGGGATGGAATTATTCGAACGGAAGCCTTAGCTAACGTATTCCATGTCTCAATAAATACAATCATTAAATCAGGCAATAGTCGATAAAAATGCCGGCCCATATTATTTCTTATTTCATATTATTTCATGCATGGCTGCAAGTAATGAAATAGATTCGTTAATGATTAAAAAAACATATTCGTAAGAGCGTATCCACAATTGTTATCAGCTC